AGCAGGCGCAGGGACGGGAGGGTCTACCTGAGAAACACCTGAGGGAGCAGGACCTGGCGCGGGGAGGGGGTCTACCTGGGGAGGACCTGGGGCGAGAAAGAGCGGCGGGGGGGGGCGAGGGGCAGTGCGGTAGGGAAAGAGACGGTAGAAGGGAACTGACTCGGCAAAGGTGACGTCCTGAGACGGAAAGACACGGCGCGAGGCGGGGTCGTAAAACTGCCAGCCAGGCGCGTCAGGGACAAAACCAAGGAAGACGCAAGGAATGGCGCGAGGGGAGAGCTTGTCCGCGGTGGTATCGCGGACAAAGGCACGAGCACCCCAGACCCGGAAACGTGACGCATCGCCAACCTTCCCCGTCCACAGCAGTGTGGGCGAGGTCTCCGGCAAGGAGACACGGGGCCAGAGGTTGAGCTGATGCGCGGCGTACCGGACCGCAAACGGCCACAGAAAATGGGGGGCAGCCGCATGGATCATGGAGGTACGAGCGACCTCCATGACTAAGCCAATGCGGCGCTCAGCAACCCCATTCTGCTACGGAGAGGCCGGAAGCGTCAACGACTGGCGGATGCCGTGCTCCGCACAGTAGGCTGCCAAGAGGTCGGAGGAAAACTCACCACCCCTGTCAGAGTGCAGACGCAGGACAGGAAAGTCCGACTGGAACCGCTCGCGGAGCTGGAGACGAACAGCGCGGATCCAGGGGATCAAAACATCAGGGACCTCACCCTTGGTGCGCAAGGGGAAGACCGTGGTGTAACGCGTGTAGTCGTCGACGACCAGCAGGAAGTACCGCTCGTGGCCTTGTCCCCGGACGTGGGCTGGGCCCCACACGTCCAGGTGGAGAGTCTGCAATGGAGCCACTGTGGGAGGGAACGAGGAGGAGTGAGGAGCGGCGCGTTGCCGCCCCTCGACGCAAGGAATGCAGGGCGGCGCAGGCGAGGGAGGGAGGGCAGGCAGAGACCTGGGAAGACCAGAGACCACGAAGCGAGAGTGCATGCTACGAAGGCGAGGCAGGGAGGGGTGACCAAGGCGGTGGTGCCACAGGAGAGTGTTGTGCGACAGCCGGCGACACTCACACTGGGTAGCTACCTGAGCAGACGCGTGCAGCTGGGGAGACAAAGGGGTGGAGCGCGACGCAGTGGTGAGGGTGTACAGACTGGACCCCGGCGCACGGGTGAACGTGGCCAGGTGGCGGTCGGTCCGGGAACACGTGCAGATCGCCACACGCTGCCGGCCAGGGGTGAAGGTGTCAACCCCCGCATCCTGGAGGACAGCGTTGCTCACCAAGTTCGTAGAGAACGAGGGGAGGTGGAGACCAGACAGCTCACCAGACGGGACCGCCGGACACGGAAGCACAGTGGAAGACCGTGCAAGCACTGGGCCCCCAGAGGGGTCAGCCAGTGAGACAGGAACAGGTGCAGGGAGGGGAGTGACTGTGGTACTGCCGCGGAAGAAACAGCGGGAAGCACCAGAGTCAAGTGTAAAGGTGTGCAAGGCCTGTGCAGGCGCAGTACCAGGGGGAGCAGACTCACAAGCACCTAGTGCTGCAGGGGCTATACCAGGGGCTATACCAGGATCCGGGGGCACACACAAGTAGCAGTCACCCTCAGCACTAACAGTCAATGCATACATGGCAGTGAGAATAGCATCATAGTCAAGAGCAAATATATCTACCCTCTGCCTAAGCAGCTCCACCCTGTCGGGGAGCTCAGCCTCGTCGCCAAACTCGGTACGCCAGGCGTCACTCAGACGGGCGAAGCAGCGGGACTGTGTGTGACCAGGCGTCCCGCAAGCCTGACCAGTCTGATCACCTGTGCGAATGACGTACGGGCAGCGAACGGTATTCAAAGACCCTCTACTCTGAGCGTACCACTCGTGAAGCTGCCGTGGCGTAAGTGTCTCGCGTGGACGCCGCTGCAGCTGCAGCGGACCACCGCCAGTAGCAGCAGTAGCAGTAGTAGCAGCAGTAGCAGCAGGAACAGCAGTAGCAGCAGTAGCAGCGCGGCCACCTCTACAACCCCAACTAGCGTACCACTCACTAAGCTGCTGGGGCGTGAGGGACTCACGCGGACGTCGCTGGAGCTGCATCTGGCCACCGCCAGTAGCAGCAGTAGCAGTAGTAGCAGCAGTAGCAGCAGTAACAGCAGTAGCAGCAGTAGCAGCAGTAGCAGCGCGGCCACCCCTACAACCCCAACTAGCGTACCACTCACTAAGCTGCTGGAGCGTGAGGGACTCACGCGGACGTTGCTGGAGCTGCATCTGGCCACTGTCAGTAGCAGCAGTAGCAGTAGCAGTAGCAATAGCAGTAGTAGCAGCAGCAGCGCGTGCAGGGCAGGCGCGGCAGGCAGGCAGGCAGGCAGGCCGGCAGGCAGGCAGGCAGGCAAGCAGGCAGGCAAGCAGGCAGGCAGGCAAACAGGCAGGCAGGCAGATGGCGCGGCAGCGCACTAACAAGGCAGGTGCTCACCAGTGGCGGGAAGAGCAGGCGCTCGCCGAGCGAGCAGGGCCGGCGTCGCGGGGTCCAGGGGCGGCCGCACGGAGTCCAAGGGCGGCTGCACCAGGGGCGGCTGCTTCAGGGGCCAGGGGCGGCTGCTCTGAGTCCCGGGGCGGCTGCTCGAGGGTCCAGGGGCGGCTGCACCAGGGGCGGCTGCTGCAGGGGCCAGGGGCGGCTGCTCAGGGTCCAGGGGCGGCTGCACCAGGGGCGGCTGCTTCAGGGGCCAGGGGCGGCTGCTCGGGGTCCAGGGGCGACTGCTCCAGGGGCGGCTGCTGCAGGGGCCAGGGGCGGCTGCTCTGGGTCCAGGGGCGGCTGCACCAGGGGCGGCTGCTTCAGGGGCTGTAGCAGCAGTAGCTTCAGTCAGGAGCAGCTGTAGTAAGCGCTGGAGTAGGAGCTGCAGCAGTAGCACTAGCTGTAGCAGAAGTAGCTTCAGGCAGCAGCAGTTGTAGCAAGTGCAGTAGTAGTAGCTGCAGCAGTAGTACTAGCTGTAGCCGCACTAGCTGCAATAGCAGCAGTAGTGAGTAGCGCTAGCTTGAGCAGCACTGCTGCGCCTGAACTGCTGCTGACAGCGCGCAGGCAGGGCAGAGCGCAGCAGCGACGGGCTGCGCGGGGCTACAAGCTGCGCGCGGCTGCGGGCTGCTCAGGGCGACGTGCTGCGCGCGGCTGCAGGCTGCGCGTGGCTGCAGGCTGCGCGCGGCGGCGGGCGGCGGGCTGCGGGCTGCGCGTGGCGACGGGCTGCGCGCGGCTGCAGGCTACGCGCGGCGTCAGGCGGCAAGCTGCGGGCTGCGCGCGGCTAAGGCGGGCAGCGCGACGCACTAAGCTGCAGCGGGCCGCTCGTGAGCTGCAGCAGTGGGGCGCGCTAAAAAAAAATATAATTTTAACGGGCGCGCGCAGCCAAGGCGCGCGCGGGCAGCAGGCAAGGCAGGTAAGGCTGTAGGGGCAGAAAATGGTGGGCCCGAATCTCAGGTCCTAAGGACCTATTGCTCTAGTTTCCATGTTAGAAGTCTTAGGCAAGGATGAATTGAGTATCGAGAGAGTTGGTACAAGAGGAAAACTCTAAGGGGTTATACCCCACACTATCTACCCCACTACAGCCTAGCAATAACACTAATATATAGATATATGTTTGACACATTCTGCTGCTTCCATTCGCTTGTACATAGCATTACAAAATCAAGCATGACACGGAAGTTGAGACACTTGGTTTCTCTTTTACGAAGGACGTTGGAGGCAAGGCATTGTGTGATGCCTTTTGAAGGGCCTTGTTGTGGACGCCATGCTTGACATGACACGTGCCACTTCCCTCGCCTCCTCTTCTGCTTCTCTCAACATCTCACCCAGAACCGCTCTAATTTGAGAATTCTCAAAGGCGTTGTGATGTCATGCAAAGGAACTTGTTATATGCATCCTGGAACATCCTGGGGAGTAAAAAAAGTCCTGATAGCCACCGCTCTGCAACTAACTACCCCTAACGGAAACTTGGCACTAAACAAATTAAACTGATTTGAAGCACCATCAGATTTTTTTGGAAAACTTCCAGGATGTTCCACACCCTCACGATAACTCACAATTATACAGAATTGCATCAACAATGCATTATAAGATACTAGTATTTCAGGATTCAGTGGAGGTATGCATCTTTCTCGTAAGTGTAGACCAATGAAACAATTTCTCCAAGGAAAGCAACAATCCACTGGCAGCCCATGGTCGCCTCACTGAATGCGTAATTGGCGAAAGCATCAAACGAACACCAACATGTAACCTGCTTACCATCGCAATACTTCCCGAAGGAAACCAATTGCCCGTGCAAATCTCTGATTGGTCGCGAGCTCCTATCCCCACTCTCGCAAATCTCTGCGTCTCGGCATTACACTCGGCTCGAGCCGCCTGGCCCATCCCATCCCATACTTTGTCCATAGGTGTGCGCAAATTAGCCCACCCTTTCCACACATGGCGGCTCGTATCCCATTGCAATTCTCACACGGTTCTGCCTGCAGCAGCTGGCAAATGCGTGGCGAGATGTATCCAGTTTGCCGCAGCTTTCCCTTCCCTCCCTTCCAATCCCTGATTCCCTTCCCTCCCGTGCTGCTGCCAATGCGCCCTCCCCTTGTCGAATTCCGATCGCGCGTCCCGCCATGGGAGTCGCATTGCTGCTGCCCATGAGTCCACGGACCACGATCAGCCCTTCCCAAGTGCGAACGGAACGCCCTCCCAGTTCAGTTGAATTAGGGAAACGTCTCCTTATTACTAAAGCGCTTGTTGATATTGTATTACAGCATCATCACAGCCAGCTTAGTTGAGCTTGTCTAATTCCATACTCCCGCTGCTTTAGCTTTGCAGCAGTTCATTTAATCGAGCAGTCCTGTCCGCTCCAAATCATCCCACATACAACTCCAAATTCGGCGTTTTGGCTTTTCGGACACTTCAGTCCGAAAGACTTGAAGCTTGTTGATTAATATCATCCACCACCATCCTTTGAGCTACTAGTCGTTGAAAGAGAGCTCCTGTCACAATGGCGAAGTTCGCTACAGTCACTCTCGTTCTCGTCGCGCTTCTGTCCATTCATCTCGCCCGCGCGTCGTCCACAGTCGACGACGCCAAGAAGAGCAGCTCCGCTACAAGCACCTCCGATACAAGCAAATCGTCTACTAGCGCAAGCACGGTGGGACCGCCGCAGGTGTTCGCGTTCGGAGACCAGTACCTGGACACGGGCATGACAAACCACCTCGAGTCTGCCGGATGGAAGGCCGATATGGAGCCGTACGGCATCGGCTTCAAGGCCGCTCCGGGCCGGTTCAGCAACGGTCGACTCACGATTGACCTCATCAGTGAGTGCATGCATCCCTGCTTCTGGTAGAATCGTCGCTGGCCCTCCGCCTGGTATCTTCATCTCTCGCCACGTTCGCGCCCATCTTTTCCCGTTCATCGCTTTCGTCGCATTCGTCATTCGTCGCAGCCGAGGTCCGAGTCGCCGGTTTCATCAACACTTGCACATGTGTCGTAGACGGAATCTGAGAATTCGCTCCCTCTCTCTTCCCTTTCCTTCACTCACCAGCCGAGGACATGGGAAGCGACTACCTCATGCCCTACATCACCAAGTCGCTCGTCTCCAAGCAGGGTACCAGCTTCGCCACCGCAGGCGCCGGCACCAAGCCCTGGATCAACAGCAACCAGGTGCGTGCGCGTGCGGTGCTTTCTAGGCAGTCGGTGCTTTCCAGACAGTTTGTGCGTCTAGTTTCGCCACCGCAGGCGCTGGCACCAAGTCCTGGATCAACAGCAACCAGGTGCGTGCGCGTGCGCGCCCGTGTAGCTTTCGACAACCACTGAATTTCACAGTTATGTCCACCAGGTGCTATTTCACCTGCATCTAGCATTTTGGACGATGTTTCCACCTACCAGCTCCTACCGTCTAACAAATGTTTCTTCATCTTCCATCCCCGCGTCCCCATGCGATCACGTGCAGACATGGAGTCTGCAGCACCAGCTGGAGTTCTTCAGCCAGTACGCTGCCGACCGCAGGGGAATGGTGAGTTGAACCTCTTACTACTCCTCATTTGCTGCCCCTTACTACCCCATTTGCTGCCCTTTCTCTAACCCGGCTACCCCCTTCATACTACCCCTACTAGCTCATGCCGTTCCTTGTTTCCCTCACATCCCCACTCCCCCGTGTTTAACTCCAGCAATTGATATTTCAGTCTTTATTCCTTAGTGTCTCTCTCTTTGCTACTCTACCGCCATTGCCAGTATTAACCGTTCGCCTCCTCCCTCTCTCCCTTTCCTCTCCTCTGCCGCACCCCTCTCCGCACCTCTCCACAGAAATTCAACACAGCCGTCTTCGTTATCAGCATCGGCACCAACGACTATCTCGACGCTATTCTCGGGGACGGAGGCGACAAGGCGGCAGCAGACCTCGTCTCGTCCACCACCAACGCCATCGTCGACGCGATTCTCGTTCTCTTCAAGACCACACGCGCCACTAAGTTTGTCGTTTACGACCTGGCCCCTCTCGGGTGCATCCCCGCCGTGCGCTTGGCTAAGGGTCTCGTGAGCGAGTCCGCTGGGTGCTACGAGCCGGCCAATCAGATCGCGGCGGAGCACAACCAGGCACTGTCGATGAAGCTGGACAAGCTGCGGGCGGCGGGAGTGAAGGATCTGATTCTGTTCCGCATGTCGAGCGGATTCGAGAATCTTCTGCTCAAGGACGGGACTGGTAAGGCTGCCCCGCATACCCCGTGGCTTCCTCCAACTCCTCCTGCAGTTTGCATTCCTTTGATGTTTGTCATCATTGCTGATGTCTCTGCTGCTGATGTTTCTCCTTTTATGCTCACACCTGTGGCTTTCCGTGCCCGACTTCTGAATACTCATCTGCCCCTTTTTCCATGCCTTGCAATTCTTCCTTGCTCTTGCCCTGCAGCTTTCACCAGCAAGCTCACTCCGTGCTGCCAGGGCGAAACCCCCAAGGGCGAGAGAATTTCTTGCGGGCAGACCGTGGAGGAGGGAGGCAAGAACTACACCGCATCAGTGTGCGAAGAGCCGGCCAAGTCCGTGTGGTGGGACGACTATAACCCCACCGAGGCTGCTAATAACGCGCTCGAGTTTGTGTTGTGGAACAGCAACAGTATCCTGTATGTGCGGCCCAACGGTCTCAAGCAGGCTCTGGAGTAAACGGCTCCTCGGCTTGAAGAATCTGGGTCTGGCTGGATTGCTGACAACAGCACAGTGGGGAAGCAACACCTTTTCATAGTTTTGTCGGGCTGTGTTGGGGGCTTCTACCACCCGAGTTGGTAGGGTCTTCTGCTCAGAGTGGGAATGTGGAGTTGGTAGAAGGGGAGGGGAGGGAGGCTTGCTAAGGCATCTGCCATGCATATGCATGAAGCCTAGTGGGTAGGCACTCTTGCTTAGAGAGCCGTTAGCTGCTGTGTGGTGTTAACAGCAGCTGCCCAAGAGGCAAATAAAGCTGGCAGCGATGTATGACTTGATTTATACATATTTAAAAGCAGGACTTTTTATTTTCCATTATCCCATGTGCTTATGGTGCATCTCCATCTCTTGTACTACTGTGCTTCACCATCACATGTGCTACTTTGCTTTCCCTTCACCTTCCCTTCTACACCTAGTCCTCCACATTTACAACGGCGATATTTTCAACACCTAGGGTACCTCCCCTGGTTCAGTCTTGTTCATGAAAGTAGATACGGTATGGTAATAATGTAGACTGAATTTTAGCGGGTGGATAGACGTGCATTCCCCTCGCAAACAGACTGCAAGTAGCAACTTTGTCATTGCCAATCCGCTCTTCAACTCGGATCGCTAAGTGTGAGTTTCATTAGTATGGATTGCTGGGTTTTTCTGATTTTCCTGTAATCTTTGGGTGTCCGTCTTGTTGGGCTGATAAAAACCCTTAGGATCTTTGCAGGGGTGAACTCGGGGTAGGACTTGTTGTAATAGCGGAAGCGTTAATTAAAGAGTTGTGAACCACCTTGCGCTAGTATGTGAGGGCAAAGTAGATTGACTAAAACAAAGAGATACAAGAATACATATAAGAGTACAAGGAATACGAAGAGGTACGGTTGTAACTACTTCACTGTTACTGTTGCGGTTCGATACAGTGACGACTCGGGCAACTGCTCTGTAGCGAGTCAGTTGTGTGTCCTTGCTGTCGCGCTGTATTTGTCAGGTCAAAGGTCGCTGACCTTTGACTTCCGCGTAACCTCCAGCGGTTGCTCCAACCTCCGAGGGTTGACTCGCTTGGTGCCTCGATATGCTTTGCTTCGCTTGTGCCTTGGTGTTTCGACACGACAGAGGCGCTTAAGATCGATTGTTTCCAACACTCCCCTTCGCTTCTGGAGTGTCGCTGACGTGGCTCTGTCCAGTCAGCAGCATGCAGTATTCGAACTTCTGCTTTCCGAGCTTCTTGGTCAGGTAGTCAGCTGCCATCTCGGACGTGGGGCAGTATGACAGCTCGAGTCTCCCTTTTTCGATCTCGTCCTTCACGAAGAAATATCGCAGGGCAATGTGTTTCGTCCTGTTCGCGAAGCCGTTCTTGTTGGCGATGCGAATTGCCGACTGGTTATCGCAGAACAGGGTGAAGTTGGGTAACTCGGCTAACTTCGCTTCTTCCAGCAGCTCGCGAAGGTAAAGTCCTTCCTTGGTGGCTGAGCAGAGTGCAATATATTCTGCTTCAGCTGACGAGAGAGCGATTAGTTCCTGCTTGCTCGACTGCCAAGAGATAGGTCCGATAGGTTCGAGGCGGTAGATGTAGCCGGTGCGGGAGCGCCTGTTGTCGGAGTCGCCAGCGTGATCGGCGTCGACGTAGCCGATTAACTTAGTCGGTGTGGTTGCGTTCTTGTAATAAGTTAGGCCGATCGTTGGGGTACTGACGAAGTAGTGAAGAGCGCGGTCGAGCTCCGCCAGGTGTTCTGCTTCAGGCTTCTTGAGGTAGGTGGCGAGCTGGCTTGCGGAGTATGAGAGGTCGGGGCGGCAGGTGACAGCTGCGAAGAGAAGGCATCCCAGCTTCTTCTGGTAGTCTCGTATGCCGGCGGGCTTGAATAGAGCGGAGCTTTCTTTGCCGTTCCCTGCCGTGTAGCGGTATGGCGTGGAGATGGCTGTCGGTGTGAGTGAAAAGCGTTTGGCGATGGTGTCGGCGTATTTCTTGGCGCTGAGGTAGATCGCGTCTTCCTCTTCCAGGATGTTGAGGCCGAGGTACTGAGTGACGGTAGATGAAACCGTGAGCGTGAGATCTCGCTGCAGCTCCCCTTCGAACCAGGTAGTGATGCCATCAGTTGAGCCGATGTAAAGGAGATCGTCCACGTAGACGATCAGTAGGATGTAGTCGTTGTTTTTCGTGAGCCGGTACATGCCTTGATCGTGCGGTAGTTGCTTGAAGCCGATGCGGATGAGGCGAGCGTGCAGGTACTGTTGCCACAGTCGCGGAGCCTGCTTGATGCCGTAGAGTGACTTAAGTAGCTGACAGACTTGATTAGGTTCTCCGTGGGAGCCGTGCGGTAGCTCGACGAAAATTTCTGCATCAACAGGTGCGTAGAGAAACGCGTTCGCGACGTCCCCACTGTGCCCGTTGGGAGAATCGTCCTGCTCATGCAGATGGAGGTTGGTACTGTACCATGCAGCCGAAGACTCGTAACATTTTTGTGCTGCCCAGTTTTCCTGTCCACAGCAGATGCGGTGATGTGTTGTTCGGTAGTGACGACGAAGAAAGCAAGTTGTGCAGCATCACGGCGTGGTCCATTGCTTCTGGCCACTGGTGGGTGGGTAGCCGCATGCCACGTAACAGTTTCCGCATGGTGTTCTGGAGGGTCCTATTCATCCTCTCTGCTACACCCTGCTGTTGATGGGCGTAGGGAAGGGAAATGAGCCGCTTGATTCCTCTCTCTGCCAGATACTGCTTGAACCTTTGTGAGGTGTATTCTCCTCCCCCGTCTGACTGAAAGCTTTTCAGCTTGACGCCCGATTCTCGCTCTGCTACTGGGAGCCACGCGACGAACGCTTCGAACGCCATGTCTTTGCTTGGAAGATTCAGGTGCCAAACGTAACGTGTCGCGGCGTCGATGAACGTGATGGTGTAGTTGTACGCGTTCTGCCCCGGCTCGCGATTGTACAGGATGTCGCTGTACACCTTCTCGAGTGGCGCGTAAGCTGGTGCGCTTGGGTTATGGTGAGACGCGAACGGTCGATGTGGTAAGTCAGCTTCAGGACAGGTGAAGCACGTTCCACGTACTCGTTGAAGTTCTCTTCCGTTGGTCAGTAGTAGTGAGTCCTTGTCAAGTACTCCTGCTCTTATCGTATTATTTAATACTGTGTTGCTTGGGTGTCCCATCCTTGCGTGCCAGGTGCTTTCGTCGGCGCGATGTCCGGGTGATCGTCGGTACAGGTCGGATTTGGAGTAGAAGTTGGCGGTGAAGTTGGCGCTACGATGAACTTCTTGTGGTGCTGGGTGCAGTTGTTGCGCGGGTGGCGGTGGTGTGTCGTCGACGAGGAGCGGTGCCGTTGAAGGACCAGCGATTGGTGTTGACGTTCCTGCTGCTGCCGTTGATGGTTCTGCTACTGCCGACGTTGTCTCTGCTGCTGCCGATGTTGTCTCTGTTGTTGTCGATGTTGTCTCTGCTGCTGCCGATGTTGTCTGAATTGTTGCTAACGCCCTTGTTCTTTCTGCTTCAGGGATGGTGTGTGAATACAAGAAGCCTTCTTGACTGAAGTCTGGATCAAGGTCTGGAGGGTGTGTCCAGTTGGTGAAGTTAACGATGGCGTCGCTGTCAGCTGTGCCAAGATCTGGGACAAAATCGAGAACGAAGACGTTGTTTTTGAGGATCGCCTTTCCGATGTAGAGGTCGCCCTTCCCGTGGTATAGCTTGAATTCCTGGGTGGTGCTGTCTGCCTCGAGGTGAATGCCCTTCGCCATCAACTGACTGACGCTCAGTAAGTTGTAGCCGAGTCCCTCCGCGATTAGTACCTTTGACATCTGCAGTATAACGTTTGTTTCCCTTGACTGAAGTTGAACTACGCCTTGTCGTCGTGTTCGCAGGTTCTGGTTGTTGGCGACTGTAATGACAACTTCGCGTTGAAGTTGGTGTTCTCGTTGAACGAAGCGTCCCGAGGAGCACATGTGTTGTCCACAGCAACTGTCCAAGAACCATGTGTCCTTTCCGGATGGTTCGCTTTGGGCGATGGCGGCGTATGTCGGGTTCGGCTGAAGTGACTCGCGGCGGGGTGTGGTTTCGTCGAGTTGTTCTTCCGGTGAGTAGTGTGGTGGTGACTCGGTGATGCAGGAGTCACTCAGCTTTGCCATGCAGCTGACGATGTTTCTTGCTCCTTGTGCAGGTTGTCCCGTTGAAGTCGTTGAGGCTTGAATCTGGGTCGTGGGATTCGCTTGCGTTGAGGCGACTTGGCTGCTTGAAGGTCGAAGTTGCCGCTGTGGAGTTGTTGACTGTTGACGATTCGGGCAGTGCGTACGCGGGTGTCCTGAAGTTTTGCAGATGTGGCAGAACGGAGGTACTGGCTTCGGTTGTTGCTGCCGGTTGTTGTTGTTGTTGTAGCGACGCTGAGTGTGGAACGCAAATTCCGGTGCTGATGTCTTCTTTTTATGTCGTTCTTCTTGCAGGTCCATGTCTTGTTGCTCGGCGTGGATTTCGGCGCAGAGTGCTGCTTCGGAGATTCTTCCATGTGCTCGGAGAATAGCTTTCGTGGCGCGCCATTGAGGACCGAGGCCGCCGATGATAACTGTCACGAAGGCGTCTTCAGATATCGACCCTCCGCATCGAAGGAGCTTGTCGCGCAGTTCGCGACACCGGCTGATATATGCCATCCCCTTTTCTCCCGGTTTCATTTCAACTGTTGTCAGTTGCGCCATTAACCGACTTTGACTTACGCTGTCTGTTGCTTGATACAGGCTCTTCAGGTGGTTGTACGCGAGCTCCGCGGAGTTGCCGTAACCTCGGTAAGACCTTATGTTCTGCTGTTGAGTCGGGGTGATATTCCTCAGTAGGATCGTGTACGCCATCATTGACTGATAGGTGTACTGCTGCTTCTCGTACTGTGTGCCGTTTGTTGGGTATGGCAGAGACCCGTCGAAGAACCCGAGTATCTGCGTGCCTTCCATCATCAGCTCGAACTCGAACGACCAGGTGAAGAAGTCCTTTCCATCGAAGGGTCTTGACGTCTGCATCTTCAGAACGTGTGCGAACTGCGACTGAACTTGTAATGCGTCCAGTGATTTTTCTTGTCCAGGTGAAGGCTGCGGGTGTGGCATAAAGCTGATGGACCCGCGCTCGTACAGAGCAAAGGTAGGCTGCTGTTGTTGATTTCCTCGTGCATATGATGAGCCGTCGAGACTCATGGGTGTTGCTCCGTTGTTGTTGCTATTGTGTGACTGCGCAGGTGCCGATTGCTGGTGTTGCTCGTAGAAGGACATGAAGGAGAAGAACTTCTCCATCATGCTCTGGTCGAAGTCTGCAGGCTGATTCGCGGGAGTCTCGGTAGATGTTGCTCTGGGTCTTGTTGCCGTGCCCTCCTCTGTCTGTAGGCCAGAGGCAGGAGGTGGAGTAGGTGTAGTGCCCTGGGAGCCGTTGGAGTTGCTCCTTTCCTTTTGTGTAGCCATGCCTGTTGATGTTGACGGTATAGAAGTTGAATTCCCCCTGATAGCTCTCATACCATGTTGGGCTGATAAAAACCCTTAGGATCTTTGCAGGGGTGAACTCGGGGTAGGACTTGTTGTAATAGCGGAAGCGTTAATTAAAGAGTTGTGAACCACCTTGCGCTAGTATGTGAGGGCAAAGTAGATTGACTAAAACAAAGAGATACAAGAATATATATAAGAGTACAAGGAATACGAAGAGGTACGGTTGTAACTACTTCACTGTTACTGTTGCGGTTCGATACAGTGACGACTCGGGCAACTGCTCTGTAGCGAGTCAGTTGTGTGTCCTTGCTGTCGCGCTGCATTTGTCAGGTCAAAGGTCGCTGACCTTTGACTTCCGCGTAACCTCCAGCGGTTGCTTCAACCTCCGAGGGTTGACTCGCTTGGTGCCTCGATATGCTTTGCTTCGCTTGTGCCTTGGTGTTTCGACACGACAGAGGCGCTTAAGATCGATTGTTTCCAACACGTCTCACTAGACAAAAAAGCACTTAGGATCTCTAAAAAGCATGGTCAGGGCTTTTACAATAAGGACTAGGTGTACACACCGTCTTGTGTGCTGTACACTGTAATACCGGTATGCGGGAGGGAACCACAGAGAATGCAGCTTGTTCACATGTGCTTTCATATTCCAACAGTAACAATCTAAGTCACCAGGCCTTCACACTTTAGAAGATCCCACGATGGATTTCATGTTTTTTTCTGCTATGTACAGGCGATCAAAGTGCAAAACCTGCAGAGGGCAACAGGGTAGATAAGTGAGATGAGATTCCACAAGCTGGTTTGTCACAACTCTGAAGGATCAGGTGAAAGCTGGTCAGGTAAAAGCCGGTCAGTTGCAAGCTGGTCAGGTGAAAGCTGGTCAGGTGAAAGCCGGCCAGTTGCAAGCTGATCAGGTGCAAGCTGGTCAGGTGCAAGCTGGTCAGGTGCAAGCTGGTCAGATGTGATTGGGCTATCTCAAGCTTGACAAGGCTGGAGCAGCAGGTTAACAAGACAATACATGTGCCACATGTGACCAGACCACGCAAGGAGACACAGAAGCAAGGGAGTAGCAAAGCATGGAAGCAAGGAAACAAGGGAGCACGAATGCAAGGATGAAACGGATGAAGGAAGCATGGAAAACAGCGTGAAGCGGCAACTGACCGCAGGTGGATTCCGCAGAATTAAAAGGGAAGATAAGGTGGAGTGGGTAGACTGTAAATTGGGAGGATTGGAAAACAGGGTAGATTGGGCAACTGGGTACAATGGGTGGGTTTTGTGCAAGGGGTGGGCAACGCACCCAAGCAGGACGGCAGGACTTCTCGTATAGAGACCGTGCGGGCTGACAGCAAGGAGGGTATTCCAGTGCCTTGGACTGCGATCGCCGTGAGGAGGGTGATGAGGGTGATGAGGGTGATGTGGATGATGGCAGTAGTGTGCTGCTGGCCAGGCTGCCTGCTGCTGCTGCTGCTGCTGCTGCTTCTCCTGCTGGTTGCTCCCGTGGGGCAGCAGCAGTTGCAGCCTCTGCCTCCGCAGCTGGTGCTGCTGCTGGCTCCACGCATGCATAGAACGCATCCCGTGCCTGCAGAACGGAGATGGCGGGAAGGGGAAGTGTTGGGGGGGGGGGGGGGAAAGAGTGCGGAGCGGGGATGGGATTGAGCCCAATTACAATGCACAGCTGCTGCTGCTGCTGCTGGCTCCACGCATGCATAGAACGCATCCCGTGCCTGCAGAACGGAGATGGCGGGAAGGGGAAGTGTTGGGGGGGGGGGGGGAAAGAGTGCGGAGCGGGGATGGGATTGAGCCCAATTACAATGCACAGCTGCTGCTGCTGCTGCTGGCTCCACGCATGCATAGAACGCATCCCGTGCCTGCAGAACGGAGATGGCGGGAAGGGGAAGTGTTGGGGGGGGGGGGGGAAAGAGTGCGGAGCGGGGATGGGATTGAGCCCAATTACAATGCACAGCTGCTGCTGCTGCTGCTGGCTCCACGCATGCATAGAACGCATCCCGTGCCTGCAGAACGGAGATGGCGGGAAGGGGAAGTGTTGGGGGGGGGGGGGGAAAGAGTGCGGAGCGGGGATGGGATTGAGCCCAATTACAATGCACAGCTGCTGCTGCTGCTGCTGGCTCCACGCATGCATAGAACGCATCCCGTGCCTGCAGAACGGAGATGGCGGGAAGGGGAAGTGTTGGGGGGGGGGGGGGAAAGAGTGCGGAGCGGGGATGGGATTGAGCCCAATTACAATGCACAGCTGCTGCTGCTGCTGCTGGCTCCACGCATGCATAGAACGCATCCCGTGCCTGCAGAACGGAGATGGCGGGAAGGGGAAGTGTTGGGGGGGGGGGGGGGAAAGAGTGCGGAGCGGGGATGGGATTGAGCCCAATTACAATGCACAGCTGCTGCTGCTGCTGCTGGCTCCACGCATGCATAGAACGCATCCCGTGCCTGCAGAACGGAGATGGCGGGAAGGGGAAGTGTTGGGGGGGGGGGGGGAAAGAGTGCGGAGCGGGGATGGGATTGAGCCCAATTACAATGCACAGCTGCTGCTGCTGCTGCTGCTGGCTCCACGCATGCATAGAACGCATCCCGTGCCTGCAGAACGGAGATGGCGGGAAGGGGAAGTGTTGGGGGGGGGGGGGGAAAGAGTGCGGAGCGGGGATGGGATTGAGCCCAATTACAATGCACAGCTGCTGCTGCTGCTGCTGGCTCCACGCATGCATAGAACGCATCCCGTGCCTGCAGAACGGAGATGGCGGGAAGGGGAAGTGTTGGGGGGGGGGGGGAAAGAGTGCGGAGCGGGGATGGGATTGAGCCCAATTACAATGCACAGCTGCTGCTGCTGCTGCTGGCTCCACGCATGCATAGAACGCATCCCGTGCCTGCAGAACGGAGATGGCGGGAAGGGGAAGTGTTGGGGGGGGGGGGAAAGAGTGCGGAGCGGGGATGGGATTGAGCCCAATTACAATGCACAGCTGCTGCTGCTGCTGCTGGCTCCACGCATGCATAGAACGCATCCCGTGCCTGCAGAACGGAGATGGCGGGAAGGGGAAGTGTTGGGGGGGGGGGGGGGAAAGAGTGCGGAGCGGGGATGGGATTGAGCCCAATTACAATGCACAGCTGCTGCTGCTGCTGCTGGCTCCACGCATGCATAGAACGCATCCCGTGCCTGCAGAACGGAGATGGCGGGAAGGGGAAGTGTTGAGGGGGGGGGGGGAAAGAGTGCGGAGCGGGGATGGGATTGAGCCCAATTACAATGCACAGCTGCTGCTGCTGCTGCTGGCTCCACGCATGCATAGAACGCATCCCGTGCCTGCAGAACGGAGATGGCGGGAAGGGGAAGTGTTGGGGGGGGGGGGGAAAGAGTGCGGAGCGGGGATGGGATTGAGCCCAATTACAATGCACAGCTGCTGCTGCTGCTGCTGGCTCCACGCATGCATAGAACGCATCCCGTGCCTGCAGAACGGAGATGGCGGGAAGGGGAGGGGCGGGGAAGGGCGGAGTGGGCAGGGCCGAGAATTGAGTTGATTCAAGGGTAATGCTCCGCAGCTGGCGCTGCTGCTTTTGAGGCGCCTCAAAAGGCGGAGTGGGCAGGGCCGAGAATTGAGTTGATTTAAGGGTAATGCTCCGCAGCTGGCGCTGCTGCTTCCAAACATGTGCAGAACGCATCCCTTGCCTGCGGGACGGGGGGAGGGGAATGGGATGGGAGGAGAAGAGTGTGAGGGGGAGGGGGGATTGAGTCGATTTATATGGTACAGCTGGCGCTGCTGCTGCTGACTCCACGCATGCATAAAACGCATCACGTGCCTGCGGGATGGGGCAGGGGAGGGGGTGTGGGGAGAAAAATGTGGAAGGGGGGGGGGAGGAGGGGAGGGAGGGGGGGGGGGGGGGGATTGAGTGGAATTATATTGCACAGCTGGCGCTGCTGACTCCACACATGCATAGAACGAACCCCGTGCCTGCGGGTCGGGGCAGGGGAGGGGGGAAGGAAGGGGAGGGGGCGAGGATTGAGTCGACTCAAAAGGTTATATTGCACAGCTGGCGCTGCTGCCGCCTCACATCCATAATCCGCGTTTCGTGCCTGCAGGACGGGGGGAGGAGGAGGAGGAGGAGGAGGAGGAGACACTGATGAGTCGACCCCAAAGTCTTTTCGCACAGCTGCTGCTGCTGCTGACTGCACTCACGCACGAAGTCGCATCCTGTGATGACGAAGAAGAGGAGAACAACAAAGAGGTTACCGTTGCATGACAGGGGGAGAAGAATATTTGCGCATCTACTACTAAAAAAGAAATCCGCACAGCAGCAGCCGCTGCTGATTCCGCGCTTCCCGTCCCGCGCCTGGAGGGCAAAGCAAGAGGAGAACAGAATTGGTTATCGTTGCAAGATCAGAGGAGAGAAAAAATTGAGCATCGAATCAAGATCAGAGGACATCTCGCACAGCTGGTGCGGCCGGTTCCACATGTGCATAGAGCATATGTAAGTGGTGATACTGTTCGAGCGAGGAAGATAGCCGAATTGCAAGGGTTTTTGGATGGAATATACGTGCCTTATAGCAGCGGTCGCGCGCTGCGGATAAGACGTCCGTTACCACCGCCGATCCCGGCGCCTGTGGCGGCGACGGGCCAGGTCGTTCTGCGTCTGTCGTGGACGAGTTTTCTCCCATTTTAGTCGCGTGATCCGAGCGTCGGCCTTTTTGAGAAGTGCTATAACGCGGATGCGAATACAGGATTGCTGTAACCGAGTCGGCGAACAGCGAGTTCAACACTGCACGGTGGGAAGTTAAGAGTGGCGGGAACTGGCTGCAGGTGTTGTACGAGACAGATTATTCGCGTTGACAACAAGAATTCGTTTTCGATTTATCATTCAAATAAGTGCATTAACTATACAGAGAACTAGCCCGAATTAAAAGCGTATGTTTGTTCTACCGAAGTGATTCATCGCAATGAGCCATTATCGAATGTCGGTGTGGCACCACCTCCACACGATGCTCTGAATTTTGTCTACATTCAGCCGCCAATCCACGTGAAGGATTTCGGTCGATTCGCAGGTGAATGAACAAATGCGCAACGTGGCTCATGTGGGAAACTGAGGAACCGCAGCAGGGGAGAAGTTGGCGTCAGCGTCCCCATTTTTCCAGAAAGGTTACACCACAGTTATTAAACTATTTCGAAACACAGAACGCAAATCGGTAAGCACAGTTGAACTTTAGTACACAGTAAGTGCAAATATGATCGACTTCTGGATAACATGTCACGTTAATTAACCATGCTATGCAAACGTTTGCCTACTTCTGCAACTTTCTACACTTACTCTGGAAGCAGACCGCCACAGCTAGTTTTCGCATTTCGGACAAAAAGCTGGATGACAGTGGTTTCGAAAGGAACCGATCCCCTTCCCGCCATCTGCCAATAAGCCTCGCCTTCCACCTGCACTCGCACCACCCTGCCAAACCCACCCATCTGAAACCATTTTGAAACCACCTAACCAACCTGAAATGTAGTCCCTCTCTCCCTTCCCGTACAGCCCTACTGCAATCTCCCTCACTTTCTTCCCCACGCCAAGCCATTTTCAAGAAACCATTCGAACAAAAACCGTAGAGCGCTCCTTGAAAGTCGTTTTTGACATTGTAAGACGCGAGCCATTACTCTAGACTAGAAAACGGGAGCAGTGCTATACCGGCCCGACGCCTCGCTATACCCGGCACGCGATAACCCATCGCTTTCCTACTCCACCTTGCGTAGTTTTCGAAAGCCAAAAAGATATTCGGAGCGTTGCGTGACTCGTGCTCAAGGGACTGAGAGTCGCCAAAGAATTGCGTGCATCGCCAAACTGATCAGGCCGCGAGCCGAGGATACATAAAAACGCCAAATATCCAGCTGAGAATAGACCTGAGAATACAACTGGGCATCCAGCGCGGACCACAGCTGGAAATACAGCTGGGAATATACCCGTAGTTCAAAGCCATGGGGCCGTTTCGTAGCAACAGCCGCCGCGCACCCGCCATCCTCGCGCTTGTTACAATCACATTCGCGACGCTCGCCGCGTCGCCGGCGTTCGCGGGGAAAATCAGGCAGGTGTTCGCGTTCGGCGATCAGGCGTTCGACACGGGCATGAGCCGTTTCTTCAGTCAGTCCGTCTGGAAAGCCACCGCGCCGCCTTACGGCCAAGACTGGGGCAAGATATCGGGCCGCTTCAGCAACGGCCGTCTCGTCCTTGACTTTATCAGTGAGTGATTGTCGGAGAGTGGTTATACAAATGTGACTGTCGCCAGCGCTCCGCACGGGTATGAGACGCGTTTGACGCAACAATCGTCGCCGCAATCGTCGCCGCGACCTTCGCCGCAGGCTTCCCCGAGCCTCTCGCATGCCACCGCATGCGGGTCCTGTCGACGCAACTCCCTTCCGTCGTTTCCCCACTTCCGCAATTTTCCCCCTTTCCGACATTTCCCCCCTTTCCGCCATTTCACCACCTTCCGCCATTTCCCCCCTTTCCGCCATTTCCCCCCCTTCCACCATTTCCCCCTCTTCCCCATTTCCCCCTCTCCCCCTCTTTTTCCCTCCCCCCCTCTTTCCCCGCATCTCTCCCCCACCTCCAGCGTTCCGCCTGGAGCTCCCGAGTCTCTTCGCGTGCCATCGCAAGCCGCTCGTGTCGAAACTCATATGCGATCACCGCTATTCCGCCTTTTTCCCCCTTCCCCACCCCCAATCCTCCCTCCTCCCGCACCCCCCTCCCCCTCCTCCCCTTCCCCCTCGTCCCCCACCACCCCAGCGTTCCGCCTGGGTCTGCCGAGCCTCTTCGCGTACCACCGCAAGCCGCTCGTGTCGAAGCAGGGAACGAGCTTCGCGACTGCCGCGGCTGGCGCGCGAAACTGGGTGTACGCGGGGAAGGTGCGTGTGAGAGTGTGACTGTAGCCACGTGATAAAAGGGAGTTTTTGAGAGGTCTCAAAAACTCCCTTTTATCAACTGGGTGTATGTGGGGAAGGTGCGTGTGATAGTGACTGTAATGAGTGGAAGGTGTAGTAGTGTGACTATATTGAGGGTAGAAAGAAGCAGTGAGCGACAGATGCGCTGCCTGGCGCAGATATCGTACATGCGTGAGAGTGCAAGGACACGCCTTCGCCACAGCTTGAGCCTCGAGGCTTCATCACCCCTTCCCACCCCTTCTCCACCCCTTCCCACCCCTTCCCACCCCTTCCCACCCCTTCCCATCCCTTCTCAACCCCTCCCCACATCCCTTCCCTTTGCAGACCCGCAGCCTGCAGACGCAGATAGCGTGCATGCAGGAGCACAAGGACAAGCGCAACTCAAAGCTTCACCACCCCTTCTCACCCTTTTGCACCCTTTCCCATCCCTCCCTTTTCAGACCCGCAGCCTGCAGACCCAGATAGCGTACATGCAGGAGTACAAGGACAAGCGCAAGAACAGCCCAACGCTTCATCTCACCCTTTTGCACTCCTTCCGATCCTTCCCCGTCCCCTCCCTTTTCAGACGCGCAGCTTGCAGACCCAGATAGCGTACATGCAGGAGTACAAGGACAAGCCTTCACTCTTATCCCTCCTTATCCCCTCCCATCCCTTCACATCCCTCCCCATCTCTACCACTCCAGACTCGTAGCTTGCAGACCCAGATAGCGTACATGCAGGAGTACAAGGACAAGCGCCAGAACAACCCGCAAGTGGTGAGATGAAACGGCGGGTGGTGAGATGAAACGGCGGGTGGTGAGATGAAAAGGCAAGTGGTGAGATGAAACGGCAAGTGGTGAGATGAAACGACAAGTGGTGAGATGAAACGACAAGTGGTGAGAGGAAACGACTGCAGGTGAGACGAAATGGCAGGTGGTGAGATGAATACCTTTCCCTTGCTTACCCCTCTCTGTCTTCTTCTCCACATGCTCGACCAATCACTGATTCTAATCAGCGCCAGAACCAGCAACTACGCATTGATCATTCCCTTTTTTGGCCATCATCCTTTCTCTCCCCCATCCTGTTTGTAAGCCTTCATCCCTTCTCTCCCCCATCTCTTTTGCTCTTCCTTCCCAATCTTCCTGTTTTGCATTTCCAGATACTCGACCAGTCGCTAATTATGATCAGTGCGGGAACCAACAACTACGTGTCGGCGATTCTTGTTCCCAGGCGCTCATCCCCTCTCTCCCTGTTCCTTTTGTTTCCCCTCGCCCCCGCCCCCCCCCCCCCCTTTCCTGTTCCACTCTTCCCAGATGCTAGACCAATCACTGATTATGATCAGCGCGGGAACCAACGACTGCGTGGCACTTCTTTCTTTCGGCTCTCATCCCCAGTATCCCTCTTGTTGTTCCTCTCCTCACATTTCCCAGATGCTGGACCAATCACTGATTATGATCAGCGCGGGAACCAACGACTACGTGTTGGCGCTTCTCGGGCAGTCGGGCGGGCAGAGCGTGGAGCAGGTGTTGTCTGCTACGACAGGGGCGATAGTCAAAGCAGTGCAGGTGAGTCAAGAGAAGTCAACGCGAGTTAACTGGAGTCAACAGGAGTCAAGGGGAGTCAACAGGAGTCAATGGGAGTCAGCAGCAGTGTGACGGGCAGAGCATGTAGCAGGTGGTGTCTGCAACGACATGGGCGATAGTCAAAGCTGTGGAGGTGATTCAGACCACCAAGATCGTGGTGTTTGACTGCCGCCCCTGGGATGCATCCCAGCCGTGCGCCACTTCAAGAAGACCCCCTCCCTTCCACTGCCGCACTCTCATCACCGCTCTCCACCCCTCCCTACCCCCCCACCAGGACCTCAATGCAATGACCAAGGCCACCAAGATTGCGGTGTTTGACGTGCCCCCTCTCGGGTGCATACCGGCTGTACGCTACTTCGAAAAGACTCCGGCGGGGGAGTGTGACGAGGCGAGCAACAAGATAGCATCCGTATTCCCCACTTCCCCACACCCCACTCCAATCCTCCCCTCACCAGGACCTCAACGCAATGAACAGAACCACCAAGATTGTTGTCTTTGATGTTCCCCCCCTCCGGTGCATCCCTGCTGTGGGATACTTCAAGAAAACCCCCTTCTTCCCCCTTGAGGCAAATGCAACCACCCCCCCGGTCCTCACTCCCCCTCCCTCGCCCCTCACCAGGACCACATGCAACCGCCCCCCCCCCCTCGGGTGCATCCCTGCTATTCGTTACTTCAAGAAGACCCCTGCAGGGCAGTGCGACATGGCGGCGAATAAGATACCATTCCCCACTTCCCCACCCCACACCCCACTCCCAATCCTCCCCTCACCAGGACCTCAACGCAATGACCAAGACCACCAAGATCGTGGTCTTCAACGTGCCCCCTCTCGGGTGCATCCCTGCTGTTCGCTACTTCAAGAAGGCTCCCTCCCTTCGACTGGGGCTGCACTCTCCTCACCACTCTCCACCCCTTTCAACCTCCTCACCAGTACCTCAACGCAATGACCAAGAGCACCAAAATTGTTGTCTTTGACATTCCCCCCCTCGGGTGCATCCCGGCCGTGCGTTACTTCAAGAAGACTCCCTCCCTTCCACTGGGAGCCGCACTCTCCTCACCGCTCTCCACCCCTCCCTACCCCCTCACCAGGACCTCAACGCCATGACCAAGACCACCAAGATCGTGGTGTTCGACGTGCCCCCTCTCGGGTGCATCCCAGCCGTGCGTTACTTCGAGAAGACCCCCGCGGGGCAGTGTGACGCGGCAGCGAATAAGTTAGCCGACCAGCACAACACGGGGGTGCGGGTGAAACTGGAGAAGCTGAGGCAGCAGGGGGTGACCAACCTCATCCTGTTCAAACAGAGCACCGTGTATCGAGTCAAGGGCACCGCTGCAGGTGGGTGTGTTTGGTGTGGTAGTGTGCGGTTGTGTGTGGTTGGGTGCATGTGAGCAACAAGATAGCCG